CTTCACCTAAATTGTACCCCTATAGTGCCTGCCCTGCTACACTATAGTCAACCAAACAAAACAGTACAATTTCGAGTTGGATAGAACTGAAACTGTGCAATCAAGTAAGCCGAACCGCAAAGCTTCCATCTTGGGTTCCTTTGCAAGCTCGTCTTTTCTGCTTCTACTGTTCATAGCGCATACAATGTTATGCCGAGCAAACAATGCGCGAGTACCTGCAAATGCTTGAAGCAAAAATTGAAAAGCAAACAAACACACGAACATTCCATTCATACCCAAATGCATTCGCACACGCATGTTCGTACAAACAGACGGCAGGATATCGTGCAATGTGAATTTGCACCCAACAAATCTGGACGTGGGGGCAAGTCGGGTGCTGGTGGCAAAATGAAAAGGAGTTGCTGGTATTGTGAGAAGGAGGGGCACCCCTGGTTTTTGTGCTATAAGAAACCCGATGGGTGGACCCCCCAGAATCGTCACCAGGATGGAAGCGCGGGGAGGAACCAGAAAAACGGCGCGAGCATGGTCTCAGATTCGTCGGCTGGCTACTATTTGATGTCGCAGAATTTGGAGCTGAACCAGCGTCACCACGTCATGCACCTGCTGCCGGAGGTTGAGTGCGGTCCGAAGGCGTGGACGGTGTTGAAGGAGCTGCACGCCCCGACCTCCGTTGTTGCAACGTTGATGCTGGAGAGGGAGCTGTCCGCCTTGCGCCTGAGCGAGGGAGAGCCGGTGCAACCTGTCCTGGACAAGATGTGCGACCTCTACGCTAAGTTTACCTACCGCGGGAATCACCTACCTGCAGCAGACAAAGTGCCTGAAGATGCTCTCGCTGCTGCCGGAATGGTGGCTTCAATTCACGAGCGGATTGAGCCTGCCGCAGAACCAGAGCTCGTGGACACTCGAGTGGGTGCGGACAAAGATTCTGGAGGAGGACTTCCGTCGCCGCCAACTGAGCGGTGGAGACGACGGCAGCAGCGGCTATGGGATACAAGGGAGCCGACGTGGCAGAGGACGTGGCTTCAGTGGTGCTGGACGCGGTGCAAAGAAGGACGACCAACAAGGAGGTACCGGTTCGGGTCGCGGTGCGAAATCTGGACGTGGGGGCAAGTCGGGTACTGGTGGCAAAATGAAAGGGAGTTGCTGGTATTGTGAGGAGGGGCACCCCTGGTTTTTGTGCTTTAAGAAACCTGATCGATTGACCCCCCAGAATCGTCACCAGGATGGCGGCACGCAGAGGAACCAGAAAAACGGCGCGAGCATGGTCGCCGATTCATCCGACAACATCCCGAAGAGCAACGGCGGTGCGGAAATGAAGAAGGAGCGCACCGCGGGCCAGTTCTTCCATATTGGAGAGCAGGAGGAGCAGGGGGAGCAAGGAGACACCTCTGCCAAGGTTGGAGCAGAGCTGCAGCACCTGAACTATTGGGTGTTGGACACGGGCGCTGCTTGGACGATGACGCTGCGCAAGGACCTGCTGGACCACGTACGCGCTGCACCGATCAACGAGGTGTGCTCTGCCTCTGGACACGTGCTGAAGGTGGCTGGTGCGGGAAGAGCTGCGTTTAAGGGAGCAGATGGCAAGCCGGTGGTGCTGCACGACGTTTTCCTCGTTCCTGAACTCAAGGCCAACCTTATCTCCCTCAGTAAGCTTGGCAAGGCTAAGGTGAGCACTAGCACGGATGGGGCACGCACTTACAAGGGGCATCTGGGCAATCGGGTGCTTTGGGATCTGCACGAGAGCACGGACGTGTACAGATCCATGTGGCAGCTGCCGGCGTTGGCGTGGCATGGTGGGTGGCAGGCTGGAGAGGGGTCTGCATCCCAGGGGGAGTGCAACGCTGTTGGAGGGGTTGGTGTGAAATGTTGGTGTAAGGGCCTAATAAACTCAAGCTATTAAGACTTTATCAAACTTAAAACCTCTCCTCATGGTCACCTCCAAGGGTCCTTGGGTGCCTGGTACAAGACCAGCCCCTATCCTTGGGTCCGAGTTTGTAGAGAGAGGGATCAAGAGGGACTTAGTCAAAACAGCAAGAGTACCTTGAACGTCGCGCACCGTATCGTGCAGACCGTTGATCGGATTAAGCTGAGATTTTACTATATCGAAGCTCACTCTAAGAGCTTTAAAATAAGCCAAGTTGCCTCGCGAAAAGTTTTGCCATTACGAAGTTATGGCTCGGACAGCGTTAGCCTAGCGTTGGAGTGCTAGCGTACTAGCGTTGACTCGGGTAGCATTCCGCCGTCGCACTGCGTAGAAAGGAAATTCCAGCAAGGAAGGAATTCGCTTGAACCAATTTCACTATATTCAGGTACAAACAGAGAAGGAATAAATAGCTCTAGCTAGCAAGGACCTTGGGAATCAACCTGGGAACAACCAGGGATGATCCCAAATATTTCCAAGCAACAGAACCAACCTGGCTGGACAAAATAGCAGGTGGTAGGTTGGTGAACAACCTCTGGTTCTGTTTTTCCAACATGGGAAAACAACAACCAGGTTCAGGTCCTAAAAACAGAACCTGTTTTGTCTTTGCCCAACCAGCCAAATGCTGGTTCCGCTGGTTTCCCCTGGCCCTGTAGCATGCAGATACAGACAAACAACATCCAACCTTCACCTAAATTGTACCCCTATAGTGCCTGCCCTGCTACACTATAGTCAACCAAACAAAACAGTACAATTTCGAGTTGGATAGAACTGAATCTGCGCAATCAAGTAAGTTGAACCGCAAAGCTTCCATCTTGGGTTCCTTTGCGAGCTCGTCCTTTCTGCTTGTACTGTTCATAGCGCGTACAATGTTATGCCGAAGCGCACATTGTGCGAGTACCTGCAAGCGAAAATTGCGAAAGCAAACAAACACACGAACATACCATACACGCGCAAATGCATTCGCACACGCATACTCGTACAAACAGACGGCAGGATGTCGTGCAATATGAATTTGCACCCAACACACTCCCCCTCAGCCCGCCGGCTCCATCCCCATCATTCCATACTAGTTCATGCTCATTCCACTCATGCGCACACAACGCCAATGAGGCTCATCCGCAGGCCTCTTGGTGAGGAAGTCTGCTGGCTGCTGGTGAGTCTTGAAGTAGAGCGGATTCACCGTCCCCGTCTTCACCTCCTTACGCAGCCAGTGCCACTTGATACGCATGTGCTTATTGAGCCCATGAAACACAGCGTTCCTGGCCATCCCAAGAGCTCCCTTGCTATCACAAAACAGCGGCGTAGCAACCTTTTGCTCCTGGCCAATCTCCTCCAACAGCCTCCTCAGCCAAATCACCTCCTTCACCCCATGGAACATCGCCATGTACTCTGATTCCACGGAAGAGAGTGCTGTCTCCGTCTGCTTCTTTGACCTCCAACTAATAGGTCCTCCCCCAACAACGCAGATGTTTCCTCCCACAGATGAGGAATCCTCCTTCTCAGAGGCCCACGTAGCATCGGTAAAGCAAGTGAGAAACAGCTTGCCTTTTCCAAGCCTCTCCACTTTCTCTTTCAGCACCTCAACCCCTTTCTGCTTCACCTGTGCAGATGCGGAGTATTGAACTCCAATGCTTGGGTGAGAGTTCAGATACTTCACCACACGCTCAGCTGCATCCACCTGCTCCTCTGATGGATTCTGCACCACCCTAGCCAGCTGCCCAACCGAGAAAGAGATGTCGGGCTTCGTGTGAACTGCTGCTAACAAGAGGCTGCCCACCAAGGACTGAAATTGCTGCTGCTCCTCGGCTTCAACCCCTTCATCCTCTGCAGCTTTCACAAGCTTGAATTCTGCTGGCAGGGGAGTTGCAACCTTGCGCTCATTGTCAATCCCGTACAAACAGACGGCAGGATGTTGTGCAATATGAATTTGCACCCAACATGAAAGTGTTGGCCAGATCTGGGGAGACGGATTGGGCAACGGCACACCGACTCTTGGAGCATGTGGCAATGCCCTTGTTGAAGCAGTTGGAGAAAGATGGAGCCGTTAAGGGTTTGAAGCTGAACGGACAGCCACCTGATGAGAATTGTGAAATCTGTTTGCTCTCAAAGTTTACCTGTTTCCCTTTCCATAGTGTGGCTGGCAGAAGCAAGAAGCCGTAGGAGCTGGTCTACATGGACTTGGTGGGGCCGCTGCCAGTTCAAGGGCACAATGAGGAGCGTTACTTTCTGACCATAGTGGATGATTGGAGCAGGCTTATGTGGGCATATCCGCTGAAGCAAAAGGACCACGCCGCCTCTACGATACGCGAAGATTGGCTGCCATTCATGGAGAAGCAAGCGGAGTGTGTGGTGAAGCGGATTAGGACAGATCGGGGTGGTGAGTTCCTTGGAGCTGAGATGACGGCCTCGGCTGACCACGGCTTACACCCCACAGTTCAACGGTGTAGCAGAACGGGCGAACCGGACAATTCTGGAGACAGCTAGGGCGCTGCTCATAGAATCTGGGCTGGGTAACATGATGTGGCCCCATGCTGTTCGGCACGCTACCGTCGCTAGGAACAGGGTACTCACCAAGGTTGGGGATGACTCGTGGGTGCCGTTGGAGAGGTGGCTTGGGAGGAAGCCGCCGGTGGACATGCTGAGGGTGTTCGGTTGCATGGCAGTCGCTCACGTCCCCAATACCTACCGAAGTAAGTTGGGGGCAAGTGCAATCTGGTGTTTGCATTTGGGGCTGGCTGCTGAGAGCAAGGGATGGCTGCTGTGGGAACCTTCCAAGTGTGTGTTGTTTGACAGCAGGGATGTGATGTTTGTTGAGGGCATGATGTATGGGAGCTGGGAGAAATAGCTGGAGGCCAGGGTGTCCCGGCAGATAGAACAGATCACAATACAGCTGGACCTGACTCCTAGTGTGTGGGAGGAGGGAGAGGAGGTAGCTGCAGAGGGTGGTGATGGAAAGAAGGTATAGGAGGCACCTGCTGGTGGAGAAAATGATGTGGAGACTAGCACTAGTATAGCTGCCGGATCTGAGGGGGGAGAGCAGCAGCAGGAAAAAACTAAGAAGCCGAAGGGTGTCGTTATGAAGGGATGGGAGACACCCGTCTCCAGGCCACCACGTACCCGTATGGCTAATAAGAAGCTGACTGCAGGAGCTGATGTAGCAGAGCAGCAGCTTGGGACAGAGGAGGCATTGCTGATTCTACCGAATGGCTATGATCCGGATGAGGAGGATGAGCCTGCCTACTATTTTCTTGCCCCTGCACCAGAGGAACCAGCTAGCATGGAAGAGGCATTAGCTGGACCAGATAGGGAGATGTGGCTGGTTTCCAGGGATGCTGAGTACCAGAGCCTGCTAGAGAATGGGACATGGGAGCTGGTGGTGCTGCTTGAGGGGAAGAAAGCCGTACAGTGCAAGCGGGTGCTAAGGATCAAGACCGATGACAAGGGACAGATCACCATCTACAAGAGTAGGCTGGTGGCTAAGGGGTTTATGCAGAAGGAGACGCAGGACTTCAATGAGCTTTTTGCTCCCACTGGCAAACCTCCTACACTCCGTGTGTTGTTGGCAGATGCAACCGTTAGTGGGAAATTCATTATTCAGATGGATATATCAACGGCATTCCTCAATGGGATTTTAGAGGAGGATGTGTACATGACTAAGCCGCCTGGGTATGAGGATGGTACGGGCAGGGTGTGCAAGCTGAAAAAGTCCATCTACGGCTTGAAGCAGGCGCCACGCTGCTGGTACCAGAAGTTGGCAGCTGTTTTAGAGGAGATGGGATTCAGGACCAGCAGCTGTGATGCGAGCCTCTTTCTCAAGGGGGAGGGGGAGAAGCTGGTGCTGTTTCTGGTCTATGTGGACGATATTCTTCTCTTTAGCAGCAGCATGAAGGAGATCCAGAATGTGCAACAGCACCTTATGGAGAACTTCAAGTGCAAGAACCTTGGGGAGGTTAAGTACTACCCCGGGATGCACGTGGAGAGGGATCTGGATCACAGGTGGTTGAAGCTGCACCAGGAGAAGTTCATCAAGGAGCTGGGGGAGAAGTACGGGATTGAGAATGAGCGCAAAGTTGCAACTCCCCTGCTTGCAGAATTCAAGCTTGTGAAAGCTGCAGAGGATGAAGGGGTTGAAGCCGAGGAGCAGCAGAAATTTCAGTCCTTGGTGGGCAGCCTCTTGTATACAGCAGTTCACACAAGGCCCGACATCTCTTTCTCGGTTGGGCAGCTGGCTAGGGTGGTGGAGAATCCATCAGAGAAGCACGTGGATACAGCTGAGCGTGTGGTGAAATATCTGAACTCCTACCCAAGCATTGGAGTTCAATACTCCGCATCTGCACAGGTGAAGCAGAAAGGGGTTGAGGTGCTGAAAGAGAAGGGGGAGAGGCTTGGAGATGTCGAAATATATTTGTCATGTTTTATAACTGCTTGTAGTTGTAGTTAGTGTAGTTATTTAAACTGTTGTTGGTGGTGCACCTTATTTGGTTCCTATGCTATATGTACTTCGAACCCTATAGTGAAACCATCATTCTCCCAACTTCTCTTCCAGCTCACTCGATACTCACCCTAGGTAAAACCCGCTCGACATCCTTCTTGGGCCTAGGCTACTAAGCCTAGGCCCTACTTTAATCTACTCGTTCTCTCATTCGTTCAACTCTCGACCTGTTATCGGAGCAAATTACGTCCTGGCCTGTGGGCCCGCCCTACACTTCCGCTGCTAAGATTTTCCGGTCGCGCGCCTAGGGCGCGTGACGATTTTTCCTTGTCCCGCCCCCGGTTGGCTTGTGACGCCTTTTCTGCCCGTCGCGCGCCCCGTGGCACGCGACGGTGCCCTTAACCTGCCCATCGTGCGCCCTGTGGCACACAATGGTGCCCTGCTCGTCGTGCGGCCCGAGGCACACGATCGGGCCCTTTCTCTTATCCTACCCGTCGTGCGCCCCGTGGCACTGGCACGCGACGGGCCTTTCCGCCCCTGCTCTCCCTGAAGCCGCCCCTGATCCATCTGCGTCGACACCGTTTAGCCGCTCTGCGGCTTTCTTCCCGCCCACCCCCCTCCTCCTTTGTCTCCCTGCAGCCGTGGGGAGGAGGGTATGGGGGTGGCGGGTGTTGGAGTGTTGGGTCAACTCTCTCCCTTCCTCTCCTCCTTCTTTCAGTCCCACCGCTGCAGCTGCCGCTGGGGGGGGAGGGTGTGAGGATGTGGGGGAGCAGGGGGAGTGGTACCGGGGTGGCGGGTGTGAGGCAACATGCAGCCGTCCCTCCACCTCTCCTCTCTTCCCCCCTTCTCTGCTGCTCCTGCAGCAGTGTGGGGGGGTGAGGAGATGGAGGGGGTAACTATTCAATGTTAGCCCGCCTGCAGTACCTGCTGTTGCTTGTTATTCTTTTGCACGGCGTAACTACATCTCTACCTACAAGCATTATAGGGGCGTGTCGAAATATATTTGTCATGTTTTATAACTGCTTGTAGTTGTAGTTAGTGTAGTTATTTAAACTGTTATTGGTGGTGCACCTTATTTGGTTCCTATGCTATATGTACTTCGAACCCTATAGTGAAACCATCATTCTCCCAACTTCTCTTCCAACTCACTCGATACTCACCCTAGGTAAAACCCGCTCGACATCCTTCTTGGGCCTAGGCTACTAAGCCTAGGCCCTACTTTAATCTACTCGTTCTCTCATTCCTTCAACTCTCGACAGGAGAATGTTGGGTGCAAATTCACATTGCACGACATCCTGCCGTCTGTTTGTACGAGTATGCGTGTGCGAATGCATTTGGGTTTGAATGGAATGTTCGTGTGTTTGTTTGCTTTCGCAATTTTCGCTTGAAGCATTTGCAGGTACTCGCGCATTATGCGCTTCGGCACAACATTGTACGCGCTATGAACAGTACAAGCAGAAAGGACGAGCTCGCAAAGGAACCCAAGATGGAAGCTTTGTGGTTCGGCTTACTTGATTGCGCAGATTCAGTTCTATCCAACTCGAAATTGTACTGTATTGTTTGGTTGACTATAGTGTAGCAAGGCAGGCACTATAGGGGTACAATTTAGGTGAAGGTTGGATGTTGTTTGTCTGTATCTGCATGCTACAGGGCCAGGGGAAACCAGCGGAACCAGCATTTGGCTGGTTGGGCAAAGACAAAACAGGTTCTGTTTTTAGGACCTGAACCTGGTTGTTGTTTTCCCAGGTTGGAAAAACAGAACCAGAGGTTGTTTACCAACCTACTACCTGCCGTTTTGTCCAGCCAGGTTGGTTTTGTTGCTTGGAATTATTTGGGATCATCCCTAGTTGTTCCCAGGTTTATTCCCAAGGTCCATGCTAGCAAGAACTATATGTTCCTTCTCTGTTTGTACCTGAATATAGTCAATTTGATTCGGGCGAATTCCTTCCTTGCTGGAACTTCCTTTCTACGCGGTGCGACGGCGGAATGCTACCCGAGTCAACGCTAGTACGCTAGCACTCCAACGCTAGGCTAACGCTGTCCGAGCCATAACTTCGTAATGGCAAAACTTTTCGCGAGGCAACTTGGCATATTTTAAAGCTCTTAGAGTGACCTTCGATATAGTAAAGTCCCAGCTTAATCCGATCTATAGTCTGCACGATACGCTGCGCGACGTTCAAGGTACTCTTGCTGTTTTGACTAAGTCCCTCTTGATCCCTCTCTCTACAAACTCGGACCCGAGGATAGGGGCTGGTCTTGTACCAGGCACCCAAGGACCCTTGGAGGTGACCCCGAGGAGAGGTTTTAGTGTGATAAAGTCTTAATAGCTTGAGTTTATTAGGCCCTTACACCAACAAGCTGGTATCAGAGCTGCTTTATAGTGATCCTCGATATAGGTAGCTATGGCGGGGAACACCTTGGCGGTAGCTGGTGAATCTTCAGCCCAAGATCGTAGCGGCAGCCATGATTCTGGTGTTTCTGCGCCAAGGGGAGCGCGAACAAGCCAGGGCTCGCTGATCAAGGAGGTGCTGAAAAACTTCACCGTCGAGAAGTTCAATGGTGAGGGCTATGATGATTGGGCCTGGAAAATGCAACTTTATTTCCGTCAGATCGGATTGCTGAAACTAATGATTGGGGAGGAGCCTAGACCGAATGACCCCGCCCTTCAGGAAGATTGGGACGAGCGCGCCTCGGCTGGCTACTATTTGATGTCGCAGAGTTTGGAGCTGAAACAGCGTCACCACGTCATGCACCTGCTGCCGGAGGTTAAGTGCGGTCCGAAGGCGTGGACGGTGTTGAAGGAGCTGCACGCCCCTGCCTCCGTCGCTGCGACGCTTATGCTGGAGAGGGAGCTGTCCGCGTTGCGCCTGAGCGAGGGAGAGCCGGTACAAGATGCGTGATCTCTACGCGAAGTTGGTGACCGCGGGAATCACCTACCCGGAGCAGACCAAGTGCCTGAAGATGCTCTCGCTGCTGCCGGAATCGTGGCTTCAATTCACGAGCGGATTGAGCCTGCCGCAGAACCAGAGCTTGTGGACGCTCGAGTGGGTGCGGACGAAGATTCTGGAGGAGGAATTCCGTCGCCGCCAACTGAGGGGTGGAGACGACGGCAGCAGCGGCTATGGGATGCAAGGGAGCCGACGTGCCAAAGGACGTGGCTTCGGTGGTGCTGGACGCGGTGCAAAGAAAAACGACGACTCCAACGACCAACAAGGAGGTACCGTTTGGGGTCGCGTTGCGAAATCTGGACGTGGGGGCAAGTCGGGTGCTGGTGGCAAAATGAAAGGGAGTTGCTGGTATTGTGAGAAGGAAGGGCACCCCTGGTTTTTGTGCTATAAGAAACCCGATGGATGGACCCCCCAGAATCGTGACGAGGATGGCGGCGCGTGGAGGAACCAGAAAAACGGCGCCAACATGGTCGCTGATTCGTCCGACAACAACTCGAAGGGCAACGGCGGTGCGGAGAAGAAGAAGGAGCGCACCGCGGGCCAATTCTTCCATGTGGGAGACAAGGGGGAGCAAGGAGACGCATCTGCTAAGGTTGGAGCAGAGCTGCACCCCTTGGACTATTGGGTGTTGGACACAGGCGCTTCTTGGACAATGACTTCGCGCAAGGACCTGCTGGACGACGTACGCGCTGCACCGATTAATGAGGTGTGCTCTGCCTCTGGACACATGTTGAAGGTGGCTGGTGCGGGACGAGCTGCGTTTAAGGGAGCGGATGGCAAGCCGGTGGTGCTGCACGACGTTCTCCTCGTCCCCGACCTGAAGGCCAACCTTATCTCCCTCCGTAAGCTTGGCAAGGCTGGGGTGAACACCAACACAGATGGGGCTCGCACTTATAAGGGGAAGCTGGGCAATCGGGTGCTTTGGGATCTGCACGAGAGCAAGGACGTGTACAGATCTATGTGGCAGCTGCCAGCGCTGGCGTGGCACAGTGGGGGGCAGGCTGGAGAGGGGTCTGCATCCCAGGGGGAGTGCAACGCCGTTGGAGGGGTTGGTGTGAAAGTGTCGGCCAGATCTGGGGAGACGGATTGGGCAACTGCACACCGACGTTTAGGGCATGTGGCAATGCCTTTGCTGAAGCAGCTGGAGAAGGATGGAGCCGTTAAGGGCTTGAAGCTGAACGGACAACCACCCGATGATAACTGTGAAATTTGCCTCCTTTCAAAGTTCACCCGTTTCCCCTTCCATAGTGTGACTGGCAGGAGCAAAAAGCCGTTGGAGCTGGTCCACATGGACTTGGTGGGCCGCTGCCGGTGCAAGGGCACAAGGGGGAGCGGTACTTCCTAACCATAGTGGATGACTGGAGCAGGCTAATGTGGGCGTATCCGCTGAAGCAGAAAGATCACGCCGCCTCCACGATTCGGGACGATTGGCTGCCGTTAGTGGAGAAGCAAGTGGAGTGTGTTGTGAAGCGGATTAGGACAGATCGGGGTGGTGAGTTCCTTGGAGATGAGATGACGGCCTGGCTCAAGAAGCAGGGCATCCAGAGGGAGCTGACCACGGCTTACACCCCACAGTCCAACGGTGGAGCAGAACGGGCGAACCGGACAATTCTGGAGACAGCTAGGGCGCTGCTCATAGAATCTGGGCTGGGCAACTTGATGTGGCCCCATGCTGTTTGGCACACTACCGTCGCTAGGAACAGGGTACTCACAAAGGTTGGGGATGACTCGTGGGTGCCGTTGGAGAGGTGGCTTGGGAGGAAGTCGCCGGTGGACATGCTGAGGGTGTTCGGTTGCATGGCAGTCGCACACGTCCCCAAGACCTACCGCAGTAAGTTGGGGGCGAGTGCAATCTGGTGTGTGCATTTGGGGCTGGCTGCTGAGAGCAAGGGATGGCTGCTGTGGGAACCTTCCAAGGGTGTGTTGTTTGACAGCAGGGATGTGAAGTTTGTTGAGGGCATGA